TTTTTAATTGTGTCTGGATCATTGACCAAGACTATCATTGATGATATGAACGAATGTTCTCAAGTTATATTCGTATATGTTTTCTGTTCGAATGCAAATAATTATAAAAACTTGAATGAACGATGTCAAAAAACTAGAGGCATTTTTACAGATGATTATGAATTAATAACGCAGATTACCAATGATGTCTCCTCATTTTTCCAGAATATCTTGCCTATAAATGTTATAAATTCTATTGACGTCAATGAAAGATCTGTACAAGATGTAACAAAAGATTAATCTCGATTTATGTGGTCTCAAACATTAATGAAAGTCTTAGTTGAACTACCACAAACAAATCAATCAAAACAAGAATTCATTGAAGAATGTCGCCGACAATATAAACATAACAATTCTCAACAAAGACAAATCACCGAATTCGAAAAAACTTATTCTTCTTCAGGTGCTATTTCATGGTATACACGTAATGGTTTTCTATATCGTATTATCAACAAGGCACTACGTACACAAAACATAATTCATATATTTAAATGTCGATTTTTCATTATCAGTATCTTTCAAGAATTAGCAAAATCTTACTCAGAGTTCATCGAAACATTAGAAAATGAAATATTCACAGTTTATAGAGGACAACTAATGATCACTGATGAGTTCTCGAAATTGCAAGCAAATGTTAACGGATATATTTCATTTAATACATTCGTTTCAACAAGTATTTCATCAGAAGTAGTATTTCCTTTTACCGGTCTCGGAGAGAGTCGTCCACTTCTCGAATCTATCCTTTTCGAGATCGAAATCGACTTAGACAAGAATTCGACACCATTTGCTAAAATTTCTCAAAATAATCAATTCAAATCAGAAAATGAGGTTCTCATTTGTATGGGAGCCGTCTTTCGTATTGAATTTATCGATAAAGTTAATGAAGATATATGGCATGTGAAATTAATTTCTGTTGATCATAACGATTATGCAAAGTTAGACGATTTGGAAAATTATTTAAAAACAGAAACTAATACAACTTTTACCTGCTTAGGTTTAGGAAGAATTCTACAAAAGATGGGAGAATATGACCAAGCCCAAGCTCTTTATGAAATATTATTAGCTGAACTTCCAGCAAATCACTCGGATGTATTTGCAATTTACAATGATCTAGGAATGGCTCTTTTCAAAATACAGAAAAATCCGCAGATTACACTAAACTATCTATTACAATCTTTGACATTATCAATGAAAACATTTCCAAAATACTTTTTAATGTTTACTCAAACTATGATTAATATTTGCTCGGTCTATAGCGCATCTCGAAACTCAAATCGAGCATTAAGTTTATTGCATCTTACTCTTAGAATATTGGGCTTTATTCGTTCAAACAATGCCTTTCAAATAATGTCGTTGCAAAAATCCGAGACACATAATAATATTGATTGTATTTATCTAAAACGTGGACGATTATCTTTAGCTTTAAAATATCTTAAAATATCATTGAGAATTCAAAAAAAATATTTACCTTCTAATCATCCTGATATCGCATTAACATTGAATAATATTGGCATGGCGTATGTGCAACAATTCGATCATGAAAAGGCCTATAAATACTTTCAAGATAGAGCGAAGATTGTAGAAGAAAGTTTACCATTTGAACATCATGACGATGTTGCACAACTATATAATAACATGGGACTCCTTGAATATAATCGAAATAATTTTGATAAAGCACTAATATGTTACGAAAAAGCGCGTGTCATTCAACTAAAATGTTTATCTCCTTTCCATTGAAAAATAGGTATTCTTTACAATAATATAGGGCTTGTCTACTTTGAACAAGCTCAGTATGATATGGCACTAAACATGTTTCAAGAATCTTTGAATATCTTACAACAATCTTTATTACCGGACCATCCGGAGATATGTCATGCTCATATAAATATTGGCAAAACTTATCGCCTTTTAAACGATTATTTAAATGCGCTATTTCATTGTACAAAAGCTCTAGAAATCGGTAACAAGTACTTACCATCAACTCATTTCTACATAGCACAAACTCATCAAGCTCTTGGAAGCATTTATTATGATCATGAAAATTATTCTGCTGCACTGGAAAGTTTTCAAAAATCTCTTAAAGTCTACTTGAGAAATCCAC